GGTAAAAACGTTAAATTTACTAGAAAAAAGATCAATGCATTATACTAGTTGCAAAACGAATTTCATTGTGAGTATTCTGCATTTGTGATTTATGATTCATCACTTGATGAAGTAATTTCCTATCTTATTGATGGAAGGGAAGAATAGAAAAATAAGAATAATCACAAGGTCAATTTTTCCACTTCCATGTTAATATAAAGCATGACATTACTTTATTTTTGCAAAATTACTTCCATCTAATCACCTTAGTGAAGTAACCAAAGAGAGAGCTATATTAAATTTTTGCATACAACAAATGAAGGTTGTTGATATTGTTCTCATTCTACATAATGCTCAGAGTATTGCTATAAGTGGGATCACTAGTGGTTTAGGTTATTTTGCCATGATTTTCACTTTATTTAAACAATCATGGGTAGAATTTGATAAGGAGGAAGAAATATTATAACCACATAAACCCATTGGAAAACCCACAATTCATAAATTTGAATCATTTGCTAGATCTAGAAGTGGAAGTAGCTAGATCTAGAAGTGGTTTGCTAGATCTAGAAGTGGAAGTAGTGATAGACTTTTTACATCAGCAGTAGGACCAACTACTTCCAGTACTTTTTCACTTGAAAATATTATGGAACAGTTAATGATTCAACAATCATATATTCTAGCAATGTAGAACAAAATAGGTGATTTGAATCAAGAAATGCTCACAATGATGATTATCAGAAGAGAAGAGTACAACATGATGTTGTGTATCAAGAGGCTATGATTAGATATTTTAGCGGTGATCATATTGTAGAATTTCCTACATGCCCCAGCTTTACGCCTTATGTGCAAAATAACTTTGAAGAGGAAGAAGAAGAAGAGGAAGAAGAAGAGGAGAAAGAAGATGAATGATGGTTTATTAATTTTTATCTGTTTTCATTCGTTGTTGTTTTTTTTATTTGTTTTTGTTGTTTTTCACTTTGTTTTGTTGGTATGATTTGGACAATTTAGGTGCTTTGTTTGTGGTATTATTAAACTTGTTGTGTGTATAGATGTAAATTGTGGATTTTTATTTCAGCATTGTTTGTTTCTTTAGTTTACTGCTTATGTTGTTAATTTACCTTTTCTTAGCAAATCCTGTGATATATTATATTTCATTTGATGATTTAAAGCTTGTACTGTTTAAGTTAGTACTTGCAATGTGTCAGAGCCAAGTTTCATATTTAGAACCCTCCAAAGGTTAATTTTATCTTTATGCATTTACTATTTTCTTTCACCCTACAATTTTTTTTGTACTGAATGCTTTACTTATTATTAAAAAATCTAAGTTTTGGGAAAAGAAAAATTTCTTTAAAAGAAGTAAACTAAATTTTATTTTCCCTCAATCAACTATATTTTTAAAATGAATTTAACATGACCTTGGGTATTAGAGTCTAACTTTAGATAACTATATTTTTGTTTTTAAATAGTTTTTAATTGTTTTTAAATATTATAGTAAACTTAAGCAAAAATCTTTAATAATGAAGGTCAATTCTAGAGTTAAGATATTTAGTATGAAAAGATAAGACTACGTTTTTTCTATTTAAAGTAAAGGAAAATATATTTTTAAAGTATTAAGAATCTTAGAGTTTCAAAATATGAAGAAAAGAATGAGACTTTATGAAAATCTTCAAAACTAATATGAATTTATAAAGTGAAGGAAAGTAAGAAGTATTAACTTCAAGAAGGGGATAGTGAAGTTTAAAATTATTAAAGGTTATCCAGATATAGTAATTCTCACATGAAAAAGAAAAGAAAAAAAATAAAAGAAAAAGGAAATATGTGATGAGTAGCTTGAAGAGAAGCCTAATCAAAAATTGGCTTCACTTAAATCAATTTGAAGAAAAAGGCTTTAATACATCTAAACTTGTATTTGAGTATTAACATCCTTACTAATAAAGTTTTCATGTATTCTTTTTTGTATGAACATTATAAGTATCTTTGATATGAAAAATTACAATTCTTCTTGAAATGAATAAAGATTCATAATTCTTAGACTTGATTACTAGGTGTTCTTATACTTTTAGTTTTAACCCAAGTTATTAATAGTTTTTCTTAAGTTATAATATTATAATTATTAAACCAAATTATAGAAGTTTATAAGTATAGAAGTGATAAGTTAATCTCTATCCTAAAGTCATTGTTTTTTATGTAGTAAAAGAGTCACTTGAGACAAGTAACATTTATGTTTGGGGGATTTTAATCCTCCAAAATAATTTGATACACCAAAAAATGTGCAATTTTATGACTCCATTTTATGCATAAATTTGATGATATTGCACTTTAAAGAAGAGTATTTTCATGTTTTGTTGCAGTTATATTAATTTTAGGAATTTGTAGCAAAAAGGAGAAAAAAAGGAAGAAATTTGCGATCAAAATGCAGTTTTTTAGTATCCTGGCACTAGAGGCACCATAACTGGCGCCAAAATCCAGAGAACAACGTAAAACTCCAATAAACTAGCGCTAGAGGCGCCAAAGACTAATTAAGATGGATAGTGGTGGTTATTGACTTTTTTAAGAGGTTCTAGAAGGCCCTAAGTAATTCAAACTCTCCATGGAGTGGTTCAATGCATCTAGACACTTTGGAAAGGCTCTTGAATGAAGAGATATGTCTCTTGGATGAAGGGATTTGTCTCTTGATGTGAAAAGGCATGCCTCTTGAGAAATTGGAGGGAATTTTGAATTGTTTGAAGAGAAGGCTGGCGCCACAATTAAAAAGAGGAGTCGTGTGGTTTTGAGAGGGTGTTGAGGAGAGTGTGGCGTGTAAAGTAAGAAGTTTTGGAGAGAATTTTCTTCTAGAGTTGTAAGAGGAGAGGGAATGTTAGAGATTTCTTCTCATTACATATCTAAGAGAGAATTGAGTGTGATTATAAAGAGAGAGGGTGCTTAAAGGGAACTTCAATGGATTTTCTTGAGAAGGAGTGTGAGATAAGTTTTGTTCTTACCTATTTTTTGTAAACTTGTATTTATATATAAAATCCATGTTTTTTCGTATCTTTCTCATTAATTCTAAGTAGACTTTTTTATTCTTCTTCCTACAATGAGATATTGATTTGTAAAGAATTAATTTTGTTATGTAAGGTTTTAAATGTCAATAAATTGTGATGATTCAAACTCTAATCTTCATTTACTTTTCGATCTGGCCAATTGAAATATTAAAATTTGTTGAGAAAAATAAGATCCGAAAGGGTTATGCTTTCTACAACATGGTAAGAGTCACAATCAATTTCATGAGTGAGAATGTAGTCCATGGGGTTGAGTACAAATAAATAGGGAAATAGATTTTGATGGGCACAGAATTGGAGATTTTAGGGTGACAGACTAAAATCCCCAATTTGGTCATGTTACTTGGAAACTAAAACAAGATTGTTATCCCTCAAGGGAGGGAGAAATGAGAGCTCTGAAGTGGCAGCCAATATCCACTCAACCTAACCACAGACTTAGGGACCCAACTCTTGATTAATCAATGTTCGTTATGCACTCTCAGAGGGTAAATAATATGATTTCTCCTATTTGATATAATATATTTTTTTATGTATTTTAAATAATTTTAATTACTTCACAATCCATAAACTCATTGTAAAGGGGAATGATGCATTCTTAAATTTGAACTCTTTATTACAAAACTTTATTTAATCTTAGTAAATTTAATTTTGAAGTTTAGAATATAGCTTAGTTGACTTAGTTCTTTTAGCTGCATTTCCTTTAGCATACATTAAATTTACTTTAGATTTGTTTTTTTACTCAAGTTTTTATAGTTTGAATATTGTGCTTTACCTTATAACCATAAGAATTTCTAACTCTCTGTGGGATCGATACTTATGACTCCATTAGAGCCATTTTTTACTTGAGCAATATGTATACTTGCGTAATTATTAAGGTTTGACAATTTAAAGATTTTAAAATATAAACATATTTATACTGAAGTGATTTTTATTATGAATGATCTGTATATTTACTAATTGTGACGTCGTGGGTATGTTGTAGTGTTGAAAGATATTTACAACGCATACACAAAAACCGG